CTGAAGGAAATCTGGACGGCGAAGTCGTCGGAATTCCGCGAAGCTGTTGCGTCCCTGCTGGGATACAAACTGGACTTCCTTCCCAACGGCCGTGTCCGAGTCACCTCGATGTTCCATCTATCAGCTGCTTACAGGCATGGTGACCATGATGCTCCATCCGACTCACGGGGCCCAGGAAGCATGGGCAACGGCGAGGAAAATTCAATAATCTTCGATGGAGAAAATGGTACGATGAAGATCTCGGGTGGTCCCAACAGCCTCTTTGCCATGGAGATCAAGCACCTCATCAAGTTCTGGGTTGAGGAGAGGAAAGATATTCCTTGTTTCCTTGCTGCTATGACGCTGGACTTTTTCGATAAGACTACTAGGGCTGCGCGCATGTAAGATATTTGGTTCTGCCTAAGGGGCATGTGGTTTAGTTCTATTTTGGCCATGCAAAGTTCAATGTGATTCCCCGGCACACACGTGTTATGGTGCCATGTTATAACATTTCTCTGTTCATGAAGATTCAAGTTAATATTTCAAGGGTTGGTAGCGACTAGTAGTCCTTACAGTGGTCCAACAAGGGCTAACTAGGCTCTAGCTTCAGAGGTACCAATCTAGCTCCCGTAGCAGTTTAGTCCGTATCCATGGCAACATCTTCTGCATATCACTACTAACTACTATCATCATGCTCAACGGCTCAGCCATAATAGTAATTGAAGAAAGATGCAGTAAGCGCAGTGGCTATTTCAAGAACGACGTACGGTTGTAGCACCTAATTGCAAGCACATGAGAACGATACACTAAGGGGCATACTTCAATGCGAGAAGCTGAAGGAGGACAAGCAAGCGTAGACCAGTATCCTGTCTCCTTACCGTAATCAGACACCAACAAAGAATGACTTGAGGGTATTCAGTATTCAATTAAGTTTCTTGATAGGTGTTAGGTACGGTCAAGGCGATCCTCCTTCCCGATTAATGCTCATTTGCAGAGCATGTACAATTCTGATTACCCACTACAGTGGAACTAATAATAACATGAACGAGCAGCTTATTTACAGACCATTAACCGGGCTCAGCATGAGCTGGAAAAAAGGCCAGATAATGAGATTACATGACGAGGGAAGGAAGGATATCGGGAAAAAGACAAAGGAAAATACAGCAGAAACGGCAGGAAAGATAGACTTGCTTTGCACAGGAGGATTGAAGGGTAGGGACATAGGGCGACACAGTAACGAGTACTGATTATGTTGATATACCGTGACGGGGAGTCTTTTTGACATATTTATCATGAGGTGCGAAAGGGCGACAGGACACGGCACGTAGGCTCGCATCGTTGCCGAGGCCCTTGCGTTGAACAGTGTCTTTTGTTCGTACACGGGTGGCGCGCAGGTAAACGCAAAATGCGGACCCAGCCTTAAGATGAGACATATTTACCCCCGAGCAGCTTTCGGGCAGTCGGGACATTCTTCCATTCAACAGATGGCTGCAGTTCAGGAGTCTGACTGCCGGCCTCTTCGTCTGCAAAGGGGTCAGAGCCCTTCACCAGATTAGTCGGGGAAGCGGTGCTGATTCCCAGACGGGATCCATCATCAAGCGTGTGAACCTCGAACTTGGCATCGACCTTGCCCTGTCGTGGCCAACTGGCTGTCGTCGAGAATCGGACCAGCAACTTGGCATCAGAGCCAGCCTTGACTTCAAGCTCAGGAATCTTCCAGGTCACTGCAGACTGCTTGCGACGGAATGTTGCACCGGTGTTCGGGTACATGACGGCTGCTGTGGCATGAGCCACTTCGCGCCCTTCCACAGGAGACGTGTCCAGATTTACTGTCAAAACAAGATTCCTGAGGGTAATCGAGCCTCCTGGCGCAGACGTGAACGAGGAGTTGAGAGAATAGTAGATGATCGCACTGGCTTGGTGCTCTTCGAGATTCCACACTGGTTTGAAAATGACAGGGCAATAGGCTGCGGCAACGGAGGGTTCCATGTGAATTTGGTACTTGAAAGCTACCGTCGGCGAGGACCGAGCAATGCTAGCCAGGTTCACCTCATATTCACCCCTCTTTTCATCAAATTGATCCTTGCCTTTGTCTTCCGTCACGAAGTGTGGGTTTGCAGCCACCTTCTCAAGAATCTGGAAATTGTCAAGGCGAACCCGTGTGCTACCTGGAGTCACATCCGGCGTAGCATTGTATGCCAACGCAAGTTCTCCAACGACAAATGATTTGGACACCGCACCCTCAGTGAACCATGCACTGACTGTGTCTATGATAGATGCGTTCAGACCTGGCTCGTGAAGGTCGGGGTGCGAGACGGGACCCGGAGCACTATGTAGAGTATGAGACGAGCGAATCGAGGTCGTGTCGGACATGGCATGGTCGTCTGTAGCCGTGCTAGGCGAGGCAACATGTCTGGCTTGCAAAGATGGAGAGGTTGGAGCGGACGTATCCAAGGTTGATGGAATGGCAGGGAGGTCATTTCCTGGTGCAGGTGTAGGAATAAAGACAGTGTTACGGACATCGCGACGGCCACGTAAGGTTCCAGCATTTCGTCGGACACCACTCTGCTGAGCTCGCTGCATGGTAACATTAGCAACATGCGGTAGCAAAACATTTTACACATAAAACCCACCATTCTGAGCTGGTTAGCCATATCATCCATCGCTTGCTTGGCTTGATCCTCGTCCTCAAAGATTGGCTGGTCTCGTATTGTCAAATTCATCCCGGGCTCCTCCAATCTGAGGAGATAATTAGCCAAAACAATACACTCTCAAAGTGACAAAAACTGCTTACCCGGCCGCCTCTCTTTGGGCCCTGGTAATCTCGTCAATGGTTTCCGGACGCTCCGTGAAACCTTCTGAGTCGACTCGTGGCTGGTCAGTAGATTAGCTTCGGGAATCAGTGACAAGTAAATTCTCCCACATACCTCATTGCGTGACACGCCAGCAGCGGCAGTAATTTCTTCAGAAGGAGCTTCGTGAGATGTTGCTCCGTTGGCGGTAGCCGGTGCTGACTGGGGCACTGCAGTGGATGTCGCGCCAGCAAATCCCTCATGCTCATGAGATTCACTCGAGATAGCTGGAGGCTCAGTATCCTGAGTAGTCATGGCAGTGCTGGGGCGCTCCATTCCTTCGGTTGGGGTCTCCGGAATTTGCAAATCGCGCGAATCACCCCTCTTAAAGGAGGCAAACGGACTGCGGTGTTTTTTATCGGAGAAGAAGGGACCAGCGCTAGAAGGCTGAACAATGCTCCTCCGTCGGTTCATGACGGTTCCCAGCCTTTTAAGGCCACCCAGGGGTGTATTGTGCCGGGGCTCGGGTGCTACGAGAAGGGCGTCAGAACTCCACATCGAGCGAATGGCACCAGAATACGGGGCTAGAGCAGTCGAAGATGCAAGATATGCTCACCTGGAGGTGTCCTAACTGGACCCGAATGTTCCGATCGCTGACTAGCAGCATCATCCTGCAGGCGTGGTGGAGGCGACAGAGGTGCTACTGGGGGAGGCGAGGTAGTTTGTTGTCTCCTCGGAACGACGGGTCTTCCTCCATTAATTTTCGCAGCAAATGTCTTGATCTCATCTGCAGTCTCTACGTTCAGAAGAACGTTCAGACAGCTTTCAGCAGCCTGACGGCAGCGCTCAACCTGATCCGTCTCATGGGTCTCCAATTGAGTGAGAGCATCTCGCAGGTGATTGAGACGGCCCTCATCTGCTGCCTGAAGCTGTTCGAAGACAAATGGCGCTCTGGAATCCCATTGCTGGCTAATTTCTTCTGCGGCGGCGACGGCGCTAGCCAGCTTATCGGCACCCTTCGGGCCCTTCTCCCTGGCCTTTTCTACTTTCTTCTGGGATGCTTCGTAGTTCTTGGCCAGTCCCGCAAGGTCGCTCTGGATACCAGTCATGGAAGACAATTCCCGATTTTTCGTGTTATACTCTCGCAGCGGACGTTCTACGTCCTCCTCGATTTTGTGGGCGAAAGTTTCGTGCGAAGAGGCAATCGATTCGGTGGCAGCGATAATGCGCTGCCACGGTATCTGGAAGACACTGTTCATGAAACTGCTTTTAGTACAAGAACTGCAAACCCAAAAAATAATCTGAAAAGCCGGTCGTACCCGAGCGCTGCGCCATTGTCCAACTGTGGCCGATGCGCAAGTTTCCGCAGCCCTTGGGCATACAATTCTTCAATGCGACGACGTTCCTATGGATTGGAAGATAGGTGTAAGCCACATGAAGTGTATTCTACATATGTCTTTAAGTAGAAGGGCACACAGCTTACCTGGAGCCAGTCCGCGATGTCCGCATTGACTTTGTTTATGATGCGAATGCGATCATTGAGTACACTTGTAGCTTGGCCGGGCTGCAAAGAGGCCTGCAATATTGACGAGCAAATATCAGGTTAGATGTGTCTGGACATGGTAGGAAGTGGAAGTTGGGAGGACAGGGAGAAAAAAAGATAGGTGGGGTTATCTGGGGTCGAGGGGATCGTACCAGCAACGCTGGATACTCCTGCCGTGAGAGTTCCATCACTACACATAGGTCACAACCTTAGCAGGACGATGGTCGGGGGCGCATAATAAGGAAGAATGAGACTGGGAAGGGATGAGCATCGAATGGGGGAGGCGATTGGACGAAGCACCACGCGGAACCGGGGGAAGGTTCAACAAGCAACGGAGGACAGTTGGAGTCGGAGGGAAGAGGATGTGATGGCCGATGGCTGATGGCTGATGACGATGATGGGTTGCAACGCCGGAACAACTGGGGCGGAGGTGCCGAATCGGCCCATGCCGCTCTCGGTAAGGCGCCACGGAAGTGTCACATGTCCGTCTGCCCGCCTTTTTTGAGTTATTATGATAACAATAATAATAATAACGGGGTATCTTTAAATAGTTATCTACTATACTACTTACTAGTAGAACTAGTGGATAGATTGAATATATCATCTATCATCTGTTACCTCTCATCTCTCTCTCTCTCTCTCTCTTTCTCTCTCTACCTATATATAACTGTATATCTCTGTCTATCATGACCACTCCCGACTGGAGAAAAACCCTTGGCTTCACAGATAGATTGTCTGCCATTCAATCGCTGTAAGTCTACTATCACCGGTGATCTCTCCCTGCATTGCTTTCTCTTATGTGGATACGAAGGAGTTGATTCTGATACCCTTCAGTACTACCGCTTACCAGCGAGCTTCTTCCTCCGCTGCGTTCGCTGAAGCTCAGTCTCAAGCGAAGCGCTTCGAGACCGAAGCTTACGATCAAGCTGCATCAAAGGAGGAGTATGACAGGCTATGTCAAAAAGCCATTGACAAAGCAGAGTCTTTGGGATCGGTTGCTCCCATCATCAGCAGCCCAGATCAACCTCAGAACGACACCGACGAAGACCACTGGGAAGGGGGCCAAACCATCGGCCCATACCAATCATGTCTCCATCACTTCGATGGCCTCCATTCCATGATCTACAAGTCCAAAAATACCGACGGTAGCTTAGTGGCAGTCAAGGTCACTATACCTCACATGTTAACCCCACCACATGATGCTAAACGTGAGGTTCAACTTCTTCGTGATGCGGCTAGTCCTCGCGTAGTGCCTTTGCTGGACACTTTCAGCCTAGACGAGGGGCGACTAATCCTCGTGTTTCCTTTCATGAGATATGATCTGGAGCAACTACTTCGGCGAGATGCGTTGACTGCGGCGCAGACCAAGTCTCATCTGCGGGATATGTTCAGCGCATTAGCCCATATCCACAAGCTGGGAATTATACACCGAGATATCAAGCCTTCCAATATTCTGCTTGATTCTCCTGAAGGACCGGCATATCTCGCAGACTTTGGGATTACATGGAAAGAAGGAAGCAAGGGATCTGAGCCTGCGGATCAAAAAATCACAGATGTTGGAACTACCTGTTACCGCCCCCCTGAGATTCTATTCGGCTTCAAGGCATATGGGACTGCTCTTGATCTTTGGGCGGCCGGTTGTGTTGTTGCCGAAGCGGTGGCTGTTGGGCATACGCAATTATTCGACTCGGGACCGGTGGGAAGCGACCTCTCACTCATCCAGTCAATCTTCACGACCCTAGGGACACCGGATGAAACGACATGGCCTGTATGCAATCGAATTACCCCCTTTCCTGTCGAGATGATATCAGGATATCATGCTGATCGAAGTCAATCATAGGAGACGCAGAGTCTACCCGACTGGGGGAAGGTAGAATTCTACAAGTACCCTGCTAAACAATGGGACGAAATCCTTAGAGGGGCTTCTACCAAAGCCCGTAGCCTTGTCAGCGAACTGGTGCGCTATGAGAGCGGTCAGCGGTTGTCCGCAGAAGAGGTATGTGAAGACGAAAAGACAAACCGACGGATTTGACGAACCATCTCTTACAACGAAAACAGGCCTTGAAACATCCTTATTTCTCGAGTTCCTAAATCTTCAATATCTTTCTTCGAACCCCTTATTGAAGAGACGGCCACTGCGGCGATCCTTCACATGACGACACCACAGCAAAAATGCGATCTACATGGCTTTACGGGCTTCTCTTGAGCGTTCGCAGGCTGCCCCATTGGATGGCCCATTATAGAACTCGCTAGGCGTTTCAGCACCCCGACAGACCGAAGTGCTGCAGACATTGTAGCACGGAGCTGCTAACGCCTGTCAGGCATTAGCCTCGGCAGTAAGGCGAGAGAGGCCGGAGATTTCTGAAGGCGGGAGTATTATTATTAGTGTGGGCTGATATTCAGACAGCTGGCTAGCGCGGGTTATTAGGCCGGAACCGAACGGAGGAGCACCGGTTATGGTATCATTCGAAACAAAGACTGACGGGGCACGATTGTTCTGCTGGCCCTAGGGGTGTAATCAGATTACAGTGTAGACCTTAAAAAAGGAAGGAAGGAATATGGAAGAGGAAACATAGTTGAGAGTTGAGACCAAATATGAGTAGTGTATCGAAAATATGATCTGATCCCAGGTACGTATTTGACGCATGCAAGGGCAGCATGCTTTGTTTAGGCTAGACTCGCGAGGCTGCACGAACGTGGTGCTGCACCACAGCTACTATCAAAGCCAATGCCGGTGCGATGTTCAACAGCGGAAGGCAATTCCATTTGTCGGCCATGCACAAGGGTCGGACACTCGGAGGGAACCTACGGAGTACCTACAAAGTAACGTACCACCCCACTATCGCAGCCATTGGATGATTGTCATTTGCCAGGGGAAGCCGTGGTCAGGGTGGATGTGGGTAACGCTAGGAAGGACCGGAGTTCAAGAAGGGGCTTGGCTAATTAATGAGCGGTGGCTCAGGGACCACCCAATGAATGAGAAAGTGAAGATCTCGTTTAAAGCAACGGCGCTGGATCAAAATCCATTCGGCTTTGAAAACTTTGCATTTCCGCTAACGAGGTTAGTCATGGAATGATATCGTTGGGTTGTTAGTAGTCTAGTTGCTCAGAAGGGAGGTACCCAATGAGTTCAGAGTGACCACACTCAAACCCATGTCAAGAGAAAGACTGAGCAGGTAGCATTTCATCTCAGTGAGCGTGCATAAAGACATATGGTGTATCCCCTGTGTGAACGCCTTCAACAATGTACTGGTTCAGGAGCCGGGGGAGAAGAAATGATGATCGAGGGGTTCGGCCCACACTAGCATCCATTTGTAGCCAGTATTTGCATTGCCTGTGATGCAGTTGTGCAGGAGAGAGTTTGGGGGGGAAAGAGCGGGAGGTTCGGCAACCTCGTGATTTCTCTTGTGACGGTCAGAAAACCAGGAACCGTATCAAAATAGGACGAATCAGCGGGATGAAGTGCCTGAGGGTTGAGCGGGACAAACCCCGTGATCCCCGCCTCAGCATGTTAGCGCAGACCAGAGCATACAGGCTGATACGCAGTTCTAATTGGCGGAGAGCCCCTCTTTTATGCTTTGACCTCATTTCGTTTAACTGTGGTTCCCGTAAGATGGTAACTTACCCGTATTTGGGAGCGATGCTCTCTTTCCCAGTACTTACTCTCGTCTTTGGGTCCCCTTCACTCTCTTTTTAGTTGGTTCACCACCTTCACTTCTCGCAAGCCCACGCTTGGGCGTGCTGACCTTCACATCCATCCTTTTACTCTCCCTCCTTTCGTGTATCTCATCCTTCCTTTTGACCTTCGCGGCCTGGAAGCTCGCTGTCCTTCGTTTCAACCGATCTAGATCAGATGTGGCCCAGCCCTTTTTGAACTATATCTGGGTATTCTCAGACTTCCATTCTTTTCACTCTCACATTCTTTTAACGCGCTTGCGCCCCTTTAACGCCACTACGCGACTAGCTTATCTCGTCGTTGGTGTCAGAGACAACAAAGTAAAGCGATCTGTGTCACATATCATATCAACTGGTATCCGTTCTTTGATGCCAGTGAAACTACTCACAGACACCCTCTATCATTGAGCCTGCGTTCACATATATCTGCCTATTTTCTGCATTTGCTGTGTAGATACGGTACAAGTACGCGGGGCACCAATATATTCCCGTCACATTTGACTCTACTCTAGCTTACCACTAGAGGCCCAGTTAATTGCAGAATAGTTACAAGGTGCACAAGCCCTAAACCATCTCAGCCATGGTGCATGCGCATGCGCATGCGCACCGCGACCGTGTGCCCCATTTGAAGGGTCGAAGCCCGGATAATGATGCGGTGACAGTGGTCTATGTGACAATGAGTGCGGATTTTGATGGTCCTGTTGGAGGCTATGTCACGGGAAGCAAGACTTCCTCAGAAAGCAGCAAGAACACAGCTGTTGGTATCGGCGCTCCTGTTAAGGCATCGAAATCGTCCTCGACAGCAAAAGAGACCGAGACGGCCGAGACGACTGAGGCAGCAGCAACACAGACAAAGGCTGAGACTCATGCTACCGCCACGAAGACTGCTGAGACCGCTGAGACCGCAATTACAACGGCACCCCAGCCAACAACCACCGAGGCGACCAAAGAGACGCAAAGCACGAGCCAAGATGAGACTACATCGGCAAATAGGACTACCTTTCAGACCAGTACTTCGTCTGCTATGTCTTCGGACTCATCTTCCGTATCCTCCCAAGGCAAGGCGGGACTGGAAAGTTCGGATGTCACTAGGTCTTCGGCGTCGGCATCCGCAACTGCAGTTTCGGGATCAGGAGGGCTCTCTGGAGGTGCGAAAGCCGGCATTGCTATCGGTGTGATATTGGCGGTTGGCTTAGTCGCAGGTCTCGTCCTTCTCTGGGTACGAAAGAAGAAACAGGAACAGAAAATCCAAAATGAAGTAGCCGAAGATGAGAAGTTCTGGGGTTCAGATCCTGTCGCGCCACCACCACCTCCTCCGAAGCCCGAGCCGAAGAGTTCCCTGGATCCACCTCAACTCCAAGTCCGTCCAGTCACACAGTTTGCGCCATTCGCATCAGAATTCAGTGCTGGTGCTGGCTCTGCGGGCCCCTCTACGGTTGCTGCCGACGCTGCCGTCGCCTCCGGAGCAGTCGTTGCTTCAGGTGCAGCTGGCACACGTAATCTGACTGGCAATACCTCGCCGGTTCACACACCACAATCAAGTACCGCCAGTACAAACCCCTTCAACGATCCAATCAATCCATTCAATCACCCTTCCGAGGTCTCCCCGCCTTCTACATCCCACGGCTCCGTTACACAGCTTGACTCTGTCCCAGAAGAATCTGCGGCTGCTGATCCCGCTGCAGAAGCAGCCACGGCAACCGGAATCGCTGTGACTGGTGTTGTAGCTGGTGCTGCTGTGGCCGCGGTTGCAGCCTCCAGCGCGTCAGATAAGGAGTTGCCCATTCGTCCTGAAAGTTCTATATCCAGCGTCTCATCTGAATCCAATTCCACCAATACTGGCCCAGATGGTCCTTCTAATGCCAATGCGGCCCCGGCTTCAGCTGCTCCTGCTGTCTCTCCTGTTAATCCATCTGAAGCGGCTGGATCAGTTCCAGTTCCGGTTCCAGTTCCAGTTTCAGTTCCCGCTCCTGCTCCTGCTCCTGCTCCTGCCCCTGCCCCATCCAATGTGCATCGCGTGCACTTGGATTTCGCCCCTTCAATGGCCGATGAACTGGAGCTACATGCTGGGGATCTCGTCAGACTCCTGCACGAGTACGACGATGGATGGGCTCTTTGTATTCGTATGGACCGCTCTCAACAAGGTGTTGTCCCTCGCTCATGTCTTTCCTCGCGTCCTTTGATGCCCCGGATGGGCCCGCCCCCGGGTGCTGCCCCTGGACCCCGAGGCCCCAATAGCCCCATGCCGGCTGGAAACATGATGCCGATGCCACGCTTTTATCCTCAAGAAGGTCGTCCAATGTCACCGGCTCGCCCAATGTCACCGGCCCGCCCCATGTCACCGGCTCGCCCAATGTCGCCGGCTCGTCCGATGTCGCCGGCCCGCCCCATGCCTCCCGCTCACCCTGGTTACGCCGGTCCTCCGCAGCCGCAGCCGTATACTCAGCGTCCTATGTCTCCGGCGCAGTTCCCACAACCTCCAAGATCTTTCTCTCCCGGTCCCGGTCCGATGGTTCCTAGGTCTCTGAGCCCTGGGCCCTACGGACCCCCGGGAATGCAAGGTCCCCGGATGCCAGTCAACCAACGGATGCGTAGCAACAGCACAGGAGGTGTGGCTGGACCGAACGCTCGAATGACAGGACTATCCGGACCGAGTCCTCTCGGAACTCCGCTCGGTCCAACTTCCATGCATCTAGCATCCCTGCATCCATCAGTCAACGCTGCACCAGCTTCGGCCACCATTGAGACAGTCGCCCCTGAACATAGTCATGAGTGACGGGTCGTCTCAATGCCGAGCACTTGATACCGTCATGTGCCACGAGTGTCAACTGAACGCCGCTGGGCGGACGAACCTGCCACGATAAACACTGTATGCGTCTGCAACGAACGCTTCCTTACTGGATTGCGTTTCAAGTTTCATGAACATCCAACGCTTCCGGTCACGCGTTCCCTCATTGTTCTTTTCTCTTCTCATGCCGGTTTCATAATCGAAACATACGAAACTATGTGTCTGGATACTTCTTTTACTTCTTCTACCTTTACTTCTACTTCATGTGAATGACTCTTATACCACCTGTTACCCTTTTTCATTGGCCTTGATACCTCCTGCTTTCCTTTCTTTTCACTATGCACAAACGAAATGTAAATTAACTATCTCTGAACCTGATTTACCTTTTGACTTTCTTCTGCCGGACACTTATGGGCAAATGACAGATGAAGAAAGACGTGAGGTCGACAGGACACTAAGCTATTTACTGTTTTGGGCGCTTCAATGTCTTGGGGTTAATGATGTGCTCAAGATAGAGTAATTATTGCTACATAGTGCTTAGATTATCAATCAGGAATAGATACAGTATCTAAATCACGGAATACGCTTTCGTAGTTTATGGATCAGACGACTGGCAAAAACGACCAGG